GGGTTCCCTGTTGGCTCTGCTGCGCTGGGACAGGGAGCTTTAGCAGCTCTCCTTAGGGGTGCACGCACAGGAGGGAGCGCAGACAGGCGAGCCGTTGCCACACGGTGCTGCAGAGGTGTTCTGGTACTTGTGCAGTACCAGCCAGCCGCTGCCCTCTCCCCACAGGCTGCTGGTTCCCCTCGCTCGTCCCTCAGGACATCCTCTACCGTGGCGTCTTGCGCAGGAAGCTCCGGGCAGGCAAGCCCGGAGCCACCCTGGATTTCACCAGGCAGGTAGGGCCTGGGGTGCTGTGTTCTGCTGAGGACTTGGCAGGTGGCATGGGATCCCTGCGCATCCCAGCTCCTCCCTGCCTTTACCACACAGCTGGGCCACTTCTTTGTGGATCACCCAGAAGAGGCATTTGGCTCCCTGGGACAGCTGCTCCACCAGAACTTCTACCTGGGCAACTCCAAGCTGAGGGTCAGGGTTTGTCCAGCAATGACAACACCATCCCCCACCCCTCCCCTTGCAGCTGCCAGCATCAGCCTCTGCCCCCTCTCCTTTGCACAGAGACAGGCCCGGGACAGCACCATCCGGATGACGGCCCTGATGGAGGAGATTGACCGTCTGGAGGCCAGGCGGTAAGTGTCCCTGTGTCCCGTGCCCTGAAGAGGGCTGGGGGGGCTCCCGTTCTCTCCCCTAGCCTGACACCACCTGTACCCCTGCAGCGGCTGGCCCCCGAGCCTGCGCTGGTTCTCCCACCTCTGTCGTGACTGGCTCTTTGAGGTGCCGCTGGGGCTGCTGGCGGACTGCGTGCATGAAGAGCTGCTCCTGCAGTGGACCAGCCTGCTCTTCGATGACAGCCCTACGGGAGGGGCGCTGGCCTGGCTGCCTCCTGAAGACAGGGGGGCACGCATGGGCCGCCTGGTGTACCCTGGAGGGCAGGCCATGAACCACCTCTGTATCCTTCCACACGGGGTGTTCCTGGGGAGGGGAGGGAAGGAGGGACTGTGTTGCACTGCCCTTAGCCGGCACCCCAGATTTCCAGGATGTGGTGCTGGAGGAGCTGCCCCGTGCCCGGGGCTCCCCAGCACAGTTTGAGCTCAACGGGCGCATCCGGCAAGTGGCTGCCGCCCGGGTGGATGCAGAAGGTGAGCCAGCCCTGGGGTCTGTAGCTCAGCCTGGGCAGGGTCTGGGGTGGAGGGGCAGCAGAGAACCCCCAGGATGCTGCAATCTCATGTGACCACCTCTTGTTCCCTGTCAGATTTCATTGGCGTCCGCTCGGACTATCACTGCGGCGTTTGGAGAGTGCCGGGCAGGATGGGGGTGGCCCCCACCCCCTTGCAGGTCATCCGCACTGACGTGCCTGCCTCATGCCTCACTGTCAGGTAGGCACTGGGGGAACAGAGCTTTGTGAGGAGAGAGTTCTGCTGCCTCTGCAGCACTCCCCGCTGTGGCAGATGCTCTCCCCAACTGCAGTGATGCCATATACCCATCCCACAGCCCTCATCTCCCCGGGGAGTTGGCCGTCTGCACCCAGAGCGGAGCCGTCTACCTCTGGAGCATCGAGATGGGGTGAGATGAGGCACTCGGGGCTGGGAGGGGGCTCATGCAGACCCCTGAGTCTCAGGGGCGTGGAGCAGGCCGAAGTGAGAGGGACAGCTCTGCCCTGTGCCGGCACTGCCTTTTCTCCGCAGGCTGCAGCGCCTCCGCCACGACCCCCAGACCATGTTTTTTCGGGCCCATTCCCCCTGGCGCTGGAGCGACTTCACCGCCCACCCGCGGGTGCTGAGCTGTGCCGACCGCACTGGCCTGCAGTGCCTGGATGCCCGGGTGAGCCCAGGAGGGGTGGGCATGGGGCTGGTGGCGGGTGGGGGAGAGGGTTCCCCAGCCTGGGGTGCTGACAGCACCCTGCTCTGCTGTTGCAGGCCCCCGAGAGATGCCACTTCGACTTGTTCAAGGTGGGTGAGGAAGCCGGCTGCCAGCAGGGCGAGCGTGTGGTGCTGCCCATGTACCTGGGCAGGGCTCATCCCTCCCAACACCTCGTCACCACCCAGGTGAGTCCCACAACCGCTGGGAGGGAACGCACGAGGGAACACAGCCCTGACTCCCAGCGGCTGTGGTGCAGGAGGATCGCCCAGCTGAGGGGGGGCTGCCACAGCGTGTTGGGGTGAGCCCCCCTGAGCCATGCTTCCCTTCCCAGTTCTCCATGTATATGCTGGACGAACGGTTGCCGCTGGTGCCTGTGCTGAAGTGGGCACACATGATGAAGGCCCCCCCTCTCTTTGCTCACCTGATGCCGGGGGGCCCTGGGAGGAGCCATAAGGTGCTGCTTGGCACATCCCGCACCCAGGAGCTGTTGCTGCTGCAATATCAGGGTGAGAGATGGGGCTTGGAGGTGCTGTGAGGCCAGGTCTCCTCTGTGCCCACATCCCGGCCTCTTGGACAGTGGGACCAGCTGCTGGCCAGGCATCAGTGTTCACTGGCCAATTTTTGGTGTGTCCTTTCGCAGGGGGCAGCCGGTCAGCCTGCCAGCTGGCGGGGCCGCCACCGAAGCCAAAACTGGCTGCCTGCAACACCTGCCCACCCAGCTGCCGCACCTCCACTGCCTGCTCCAGCAGCGCCTCAGCGCCCCAGCTGCCGGTGGGTGTCCTGCGTTGCCCTGGGGTGCAGGTCCTTGGGTGGAGAATGTGGTCTGGAGGAAAGGGGGGTATAACCTTTGCTGCGCCCTGGCCGGGGGGTGGTGGTTGAAAAAGCAAAATCAAAACTCTGAACAACCCTGTGCAAGAGATTAGTGACCTAGAAAAGGACGTGGTGGGCAGGAGCCAGCAGTGCTGGCTGTGGGGGGGGTGGAGTCAGCCCCCACTGCTGGTCAGGCCCCAGGAGGGGCCCCAGGGCTGGGACCCCAGTGGCAATGTGTCCCCTGTCCCTGCAGGGCTGGCCGCCACGCTGCAGGAGGACAGGCCACAGGAGTCCCTGCTAGTTTTCCAGCTCTCCGAGGCCGGGGATGTCTTCTGCCAGAGGCTGACCCATGAGGCAGTGCAAGACCCTGTGCCCACCTCGGGTGATGAGACCGCGGCAGCCCCTGGCTCTTCCCCTCTCTTTGACACTCCAGCCAGCATCCTGCCAAGCTTGGGTAGTGAAGAAGAGGAGGAGGAAGAGCAAACCTTCTACTTGTCCAACCTGGAGGTGATTATTAATGAGGAGGAGGAGGAAGACGTGGGCACATCAGCAGCCCTGGAGGAAGCCGAACTCCCCCAGGAGCCCTGCGCCAGCCCCCAGCCCTCCCCAGTAGGGCCCAGCCCAGCTTCTGCCCTGCGGTACCGTCGCTGGCTGAAGGCTCTTTTCAAGGGCTGGGGGGAGCCCCCCCGGCACACCTGGCCTCCCACCTTCAGCCAGAAACGCCTCTTCACCCGCAAAGACCTGGAAGCACCGGTGGGCCCCAGTGCCCTGCACCGGCAGGCACGCCAGCAACTGCGCCAGGCCATGCAGCAAGGGGGTTGCATCCAGCACTGGGACCCCCCAGCCCTTCAACCCCCACCGCAGTTGCTGGAGCCAGCAGGGTTTCCAGACCCCCTTAGCACCCGTCTGACAGCAGCGTGGTCCGGGGACTGGGGTCAGTGGTGGGAAGAGAGGTCGAGCTTCAACATGGCGCAGAGGCAGCGGGCACTGCGGGA